GGCTGGCTCAGATTGCAGCCCCGCAAAGACCGCTCCTGATGGCTTATGTTCTCATGTGTGTGAGTGCACGCGTGTAGAGGCCCCAGGCTGACACTGAAAGAGTTTACCCTGATTGCTCCTCAGTACTGACTAGTCTAGTTAGTCAGCATGCTGCAGGGACAGCCTGTGGCTGCCTCTGAGTCCCGGAATTACAGGTGGCTGTCACACCCACTTGGGATTTCTGTGGGATTTGGGGCTAAAAACTGTGCCCTCTGACTTGTGTGGTAAGCATGTCAACTCTCCAGCACAGGTAGGTGTCTTTTCCCTCCCCTGACCTCCCCTCTCCCTCCCCCCTCTGTCCCTCCCTCCCTTCTTCACTTTCTTAAGAATTTAATTTTCTGGTTGGGCACTGTGGCTCACGCCTTTAATCCTAGCACTTGGGAGGCAGAAACAGGCAGATTTCTATTAGTTGGAGGCCAGACTGGTCTACATTCAGAGTTCAAGCCCAGCCATGACCCTGTCTCAAAACAAAAAACAAAACAAGACAAAAACAAACAAACAAACAAAAAACCCCAAAAGCAAACTAACAAAAAAATAATGTAAGAATTTAAATGTATGTTTATGTGTGTGCGCTCACATGAGGTCACAAGAGGTCATGGAGTGCCCCCCAGAACTGGAAGCTCAGGAGGTTGTGAGCCGGCTGATGTGGGTGTTGGGGGCCACACTCAGCTCTTCTGCAAGAGCAATGTACAGGGTCATCCTCCAGCCCCAATTAGATTAAACACAACCAATTTCAGATTTATAGAAACATATCTGAGAGCTTGTTTGGAGGTTCTAGCAGGGGAGCGCAGCTACTCGTATACCCTTGATTGAAGACCAGTCCTCTTCACAGGAAAGCGCTGTGGCACTGGAATAAGGTGGAGTCAGAAATCACCTCCTGCCTGTGTCCCCTGCTAAGGACACAGAGCAAGTGCTGAACTAGAACGCTGGCTCTGGGCAGGAGAAGAAACCTCTCTGGAAGTCTGGCTGCTCACCACCTGGGTGGGCCCGAGAGCCTCAGCCATTTCAATGAAAGTGGTACCAGTTATTGAGTCTCTTGGACACCGCGCAGAAGCCAAGTGGAACTGTTCTATGCGGAAGCTGTTTCAAATCCCCACAGATATATCTCAAGGAAGACAAGCAGCTTATAGTTTAAAAATATGAAGGGAAACAGACACAAGCTGAGAAACAGCAGAGGGGATGGTGACATCCCCAGAGACCTCGGCTCTTGGAGGTGGTAAGCATGCATTTAGGGATGACGACCAAAAAAAAAAAAATTGGCCCAGGCAGATTTCAAAAGAATCCAATAAACATCATAGATGAAAATATGGTTACAGGCCAAACAAACAGAAAAAAAGTCTACCAACATCCAGAAGAAAATGTGTTGCAACTATAACTTACTTTGATATCATAAAAATGAAACTTGAGTTCACAGAAAGAAGATCGGTAGACATACGACAAACCAAATGTAATAAAGAGTTGATGTAAATCTAGATGTCAAGTACTTGAGTGATTATTATAAAATTCTTTCAAATCTTCTGCATACTTAAAGTTTTTTTCTTATAGTAAAAATGTTACATATCTACATGCAGACCAGGAAGCTGGGTGCATGGGAAGAACATATTCAGGCTTCTGACCTGGAATACAGGTAGATCAGCCCTCTCAACAACATCAACAAGCATGCAGAATGAATGAAGAGTAACATTTTAATAACTATTTACATATTCATTCATGTGCTGGCGATGTGCCCATGTCAGGGTGTGTTCATGGATGTTAGAGGAAAACTCTCAAGAGTTCTCTCCTTCTATCATGAGGGTCCTGGGGACTGAAATCAGATCGGCAGGCTTGGCAGCAGGTGCCTTTACCTGCTGAGCTGTCTTGCTGTTGTCCTAAGGGTAAGATGTTTTAAGAACGCATTAAAACGATCGAAAAAGCCTGGACTGGCAGTGCACATACTTAATCCCAGCACTCGGGAGGCAGAAGCAGGAAGATCTCTGTGAGCTCGAGGCCAACCTGGTCTACATAGTGAGTTCTAGGACAGCCAGGGATACATAGTGAGACACTGCCTCAACCAACCACTGAAGAGATAACAGAAGTTTGAAATCCCCAAGCCAAAGCCTGAGCGAAGGTAGTGGTGTGGAGACGCTCTGTCACTTCTATCCCAAGCCTATGCCAAAGCTTAACAAAATGGAAGTTCAATTTCCAGGGCCTAAAAAGTGTCAGCTCACCTGGGCATGGTGGCTGTGATTTCATTACTTTAGAGGGTGAGGCTGGAGGATGCCAGGTCCCAGGCAGGCCCAGGCTATACAGCCAAATACCCAACCATGAACGAATGAATGAGTGAGTGAATGAGGTGCCGGAAGAGCCAATCAGAAACAGGAATGCTGCCCCCACCCAGGACTCTCAGGGCTCGAGAGAGTCTGTGGAAAGCTGCCAAGGTGCTGAGCAGAGCACAGGGCAATGTAAGAGTGCTGATTTAGTCCCACCCTGTAGAGGAAGCCACTGGCTGGCCCTGGATCGGATTTGCTGTGCATATTCCATGGGTGGTCCAGTAAACCCCAAGGCCCTGTCCCAGATGGGAGCTTGGCAGAGGTGAAGGCAGATACTCTCTGCAGGAGCAAGAGTCATCCTGGGCTTCAAAGAATTACCACAGGGAACTTTCTAAGGAAAGTCACTAACCACAGGCCAACAGTAAATAAACAACTAATGAGCTACATGGAGAGCACACGCCCATGAATGAGAACTGGCCAAGGAGCTTAACTATCAGCCGGCTCTGCAGCCCATGTGTGATTTTAACAATGCAGTCTGTACATGTGGAAGCTGTAGCTGATGACCGAGAAAGCAAAACCCAGTGGGCTCTATAGAGCCAAAGGCTTACTCTCGAAAATGAGCAATATAATAGGAAGATCTTTGTTGGTAGTTACCTAGGGGGAAAGGGGAGCAGAACTATATTTGGGATAGGAATGAGGATGTAATCACCAAATGGATATTTAAAATCTAAGAAAATGCAGTGCCTATGGATGATGTGGTGTGAGAGAGCCTGTGGATGATGTGGTGTGAGCGAGCCTGTGGATGATGTGGTGTGAGCAAGCCTGTGGATGATTTAGTGTGAGTGAGCCTGTGGATGATGTGGTGTGAGCGAGCTTGTGAATGTGTGAGCAATCCTGCAGAAAGCTTCCAGAAGGGCTGGGCATGTTGGTGCTGTTGGTGGAGAACTTGCTTAGAATGCGTTTGATTCCTATAATCAAATAACCCAGATGTGGAGGTACACACCTGTAATCCCAGTACTTCAGAGATAGAGGCAGGGGGAACAGAATTGTGGTCACCCTCGGCTACACAGCAAGTTTGAGGCTAGCCTGTGCAAATGCTCAGTGACTCGTAGATACATGTGAAAGAGGTCTGCTTGTAACGAGAAATCCCCACTTTATTGGAGGTGTATTTCTCCCCAGACAGGCAGACACCAGGCATATCCCCAGGCAGGCAGACAATACATAGAGGAGGTGGTGTCCAAATGCTGGGCTCAGGGACAGGTTCAGCCCCATCACACGGGGTGACCCTGTGTGCTCGTATTGCTTACATCATGCTGCATTGGGATTCCTTCTTCAGAACCTTACAAAGTTCTTACGGCAGCCAAGAAATCATAGTCATTAACGCCGGGATCATTTGAAGCCATTTTCTTTTGTTTTATTCCAAACACATATTTTTGTAAACCTGGCATTTCCCAAACAGTGCACGTGAGCTAGAGGTGACTGGAACACACATGACAACATTAAGGAGGCACAGCCCTCCCATACCAAACCCTCTTGGATAGTGTGCATACCTCAATAAAGCTTTTGACGTGCTGACAGTGGGGTGGGGTGGGGGTGGGGGACGCCTGCCATGCAACAAACCACTCAGAAAGCTTAAACTCACCCTGCCAGTCACACCGTACACACCAGCATCAGACAAAGCAAACCAAGCCGCACAGAAGAGAAACCCAGGCCAGCTGTAGAGAACTTCACACCAGGCCAGGAGATGCTCTCAAGGCGCCTCCCCCCCCCCCGTGCTGAAGACTCAGAAGACATTCTAGAAGGCTCCTTTGGCCTCACTGGCTCTGCAGTCTCCCTTCAGCCATTACCCTAGAAAACACTGTGCATTTCACCGCTCCGTGTACCAAAGCCCACATCTATTGGAATTCTGTGTTCTCTGGGAATTGTGAAATGAAACTCAGCCTCTGGTTTTGTTTACTAAAGGGATGGCTCCCCCAGTGCTTTGCATATGTTGGGCAAACACTCTGTGACTGAGCTGTCCGTCCCTCAACGATAATGCCCTGTAGTAAGTACCTCCATGTTTCAGAAACTGGGCACTTCCTCTCCTAGGCGAATGTCCCCCAGGCAATCAGCTATAACCCTGCCTTCACCTTAAATAAACGTGAGTGAATAACGTTTCCACGCCCACCACACTGGGGCTCAACAGGCAGCACACCACATAGGTTGGTCACTGGGGTGGCCCAGGAGCGTGGCTGCTGTTTGCTGAGAATTATCTTGCCTTCATCTTTAACAAAGTAGGTTACACCAAAATGGTGTGGGGGACTTCATGCAGCCTGCCAAATGTCTGGGCACTGAGATTCCTTCCCGGAGCACTGCCCCAGACGGCAGTGACAGGTCACAGGGTGTGCACTGGTCAGCCAGCACAAAGTCAACTACTCAGGTGCCTCTCGCTAGAGTTCCTGTGCTCCTACATTGCATGACCTCTTCATGGCAGGGACTCGCCTTGGCGATGCTCCTGACTTTTCCTGAGTCCTAGGTAAACTGGGAAGAGAGGCACTTTTTTTTTTTTTTTTTTTTTTTTTTTAAGGGACATTGCTTTAACCATCTTAAAAAAAAAAAAAAAAAAAACAAGCATCTTTTTTCATATTAAAAACAAAAACAGAACAAACAAAAACCCCAACACTTTAGTACAGTCCGTAGAGCTGGTTCACACCATGGAAGACACATCTGAAAAAAATGGAACCAGACAAATGGTAATGCCAGTGAGAATTTAGAATGAATGTCTGCAGGGTTTCCACAGGGGATTCAGAGGCAAGACCTTACAATGGACTATCCTGTCGGATTTTAAAAAAGAATGTTCTAGAGAGAGGTAACAGGGACATATCAACACACCTGCCCACTTTACCTGATAGCTTAAAAGAAGCCAGAGTGAAGATGCTGGATACTCAGTTGAGAGAATTCTTAGACAGGGATGACTCCCTCCTCTGCCTGGGTGCCACGCAGCCACACGCTACCTCTCACACCACCTGGCATTCAGCATTACCAGATAGGCAAAGATGCTTCCTATGGTGGCTGTTAGGACCATGTATTTTCTTAAATTCAGCCTCATGGACTTGTAGTGACTTAGCGACATGTGACTGCCCATGAGGGTTTGCCATTCACGACAGATCCCAGCTGCTGCGTCTGCCCTTCCTCCCTGTCCACTTTCTCGGGTGTGGCTGACCCTGATGAAACCATGCCCTCTGCAGGAAGCAGGCCGGTGGGGACAGATGCATTTGGCTGAACCTGCAGATGATCTCACCATCTAAGAATCTCACATGATTTTATTAAAGGAAACTATGACATGATTCACACATCATCATCATAGGACAGCTGCAAATGGGGCTCATGGAGAATCCACACTCCACACCTACTGTGGGATGGCTGACTACCCCGAGGCTGTGTTCTCTGGGGGGGGGGTCAGCAGTGTCCTGCACAGTGCTGGACCCACAGTCCAGGCTGTACGTGGCTGGTAAAGCCAAGACTTCTTTCCTAAATTTTTTTGATAAAATTTATGACCTGGGTGTGCACTGGTTTCCTGGACTGCCCCAGCCTTACAGTGACCCCTGTCTCCATTCCAGAGTCAGAGGCAACATTTGGCTTCTAGAACTAGCTTTGACTTGTGGCTTTTTGGGTTTCTCAATGCTGGAGTTACCATTCACTTGCTGGGGAGAGGGGAACACCACAGCTCTTGGTTCAGAGTCCTTTGCATGATTTCTGCATTTCTCCAGTTGAAGATGCCCGAGAAGCTGTCCTCTAGAGGACAGAATCATCTTGTCAGCAACTACAAAGGGCAGAAAGTTTACATCCCCAGCAGGCAAGGGACCACAGAAGCCCGGTTTCCTGACATCTAGTCAGGGTACTCTGAGCCTAATTTGCCGACCAGATCTAATTGGGCTGAAGCCACCTTGTGGATCATTCCCTAAAGTGACATTGTTTCTTGGGGTCCCCTACTCTCCTGTATTCTATTCCCTACTTCTTCACTGCTAGCTTCTGGGAAAACTTCCTCAATAACTTACTTGCACCCAAGTCTTTATTCCAGGGTTTGACTCTTGAGAATCCCACCTAAGACATAAACATAATTCAAGTGGGGCTATCCTCTCTGGGAAGGAGTCTGCAATACCACCATTTGGGGACAGTAAGAGTGACAGAGTAAATGGAGATCCTTGAACTGAAGTTACATCACAAGGTGACACTTTACACACACACAGTCACAGACACAGGTCTTTGCTGAGAGAGCACAGCTTCAGTCCTGGGCTTTGAATCGGGATGAGATGTTATCCTGAGGTTGACCAGTTGTCTATGCCACACTTGCTGACTCCCGAGGGAGGAGAGTGAAGTGCCTGGTGCATGCAATAGGGTGGGACCGAGCATCTGCAGTGAGGAAACCAGGGTTTTCATCCCAGCTCTCGTTGGGAATCTCCCAGCGAGAGGTCCGTAAGGGAAAGCACTGATACTTCTTCAAGTGCTCGGAACTTGACTCCAGGTGCTAACAGTGGGAAGTGTCTTAGGTGGTCTCGCCAGAACCATGGTGCTTTTGTAGTATTCCCAGCTTGGCGGATTCATTTCTTGAGGTCTCTTTTGTTTATTTTATCTGCATTTTTTTTTTCAAACAGCAAGTTCCAAAGTACAATAAGTCCTTCCTCTTTTAAAATTTGTATGCAGGTACATATATGTCCAAGATTTCAGTGCTTGAGTGAATTATAGAACTATTTAATAGAAACAATAAAACATCGATACAAATATAAAGACACGATCAATATAAAAGGCTTACGTTTATAAAAAATACTTTTAGGTAACAGTTTTCCCCTGAGGGTTGACCACGCAATGTTGTATCCATAAATATTGCTTTGCTCTGTAGCTTGTCTTTCCGAAGCTCTGAGTTTGTTTGTAAGGGGAAGTGGTGGTGGCCCCAGTCATGTGACCTGGCTGGAGGTGACCATCTCAGGTCGGCACCGGGCTTGACAGAATGAGGAAGAGAACAGCATCAGTGGGGCCTCCGAAAAATCTGGAGAAGATTTCTTTCTTCCAAATATGGAAGATACAAAGATCAGGGACCACAGGCTGGTGATGGGAACATGAGGGCATCACGTGACTGGCACGGCACGGCGGGTCACTGGTTTTTCTGGACCCAGTCCCAACCATCTTCATTCTCTTTCCGGTTTTTCTCGGCTTCAATGATTTCTTTGTACCTTCTGCGGAAGAAGCCCATCTGAAAGACAGGTAGAAGAGGCTCTGGGTTAGGTCTGGCTGGATTCTCAGGCAGCCTGAGCTACGAGGAGGCAGGACCCAGCCCTTCCCAGACCTGGGGAAGCCAGGAGACTGTTTCAGGCGAGACTGTTATTAGAAAACATACCAGCAAGAAAAGAGTTACTTGGGTCCACTTTTCAAACCACACTGACATCCTGTGGTCTAGCTCCCAGCAAGCAAGCTGTTCACCGAAGAGCCTCAGGAAAACTGTTTCCTCAAACCAGGTGCTGGGGAACACGTTACTGCGTGGTTTTCAAAGGTTTTTTGTTTTTGTTTTTGTTTTTGTTTTTTTTTGAGTGAAGAAAACGATAAATATGTCCTGGTCAATCAAATTTGGAAAAAGCTGCATTCTTCTGGACAGACCATAGTCCATAAAAGATTTGACCACTGGATGGGGTGAGCCAGAATTTCTTGAGCTATGTGCTGTTTTTTTTTCTCCTGCATATGTGTTTATGTACATATGTGTTTATATGTTTATGTGTACATCTGTATATGTGATTGTGTGTGTGTTTATGTTCATATGTGTTTGTGTGTATAGTGTGCATATGCATTTATGTGTGCATGCATTTATGTTTGTGTGTATGTGTTTACATGCTTATGTGTTTATGTATTTGTATGTGTATATGTATAAACGTGTTTGTGTGTGGAGGTCAGAATCACATGCTGTCCCTCAGAGGTATCCACTTTGATTTTTTTTTTTTCTCTGTGTAGCCTTGTAGATCAGGCTGGCCCCAATCTGAGATCCACCTGCCTCTGCCTCCTGAGTGCTGGGATTAAAGGTGTGCACCACCACCGCCTGGTTCCACGTTGATTCTTAAAACAATTCTCCCAGTGACCTGGCCCAAGCTTAGAAGGCCAGCCTGGCCAGTGAGCTTGGGGGATCTGACTGTCTCTACCTTCCCAGCACTGGGATTACAAACATAGGCCACCATGCCTGGCTTATACAGGTGCTGGGGATGGACACAGGTCCTTGTGGTTGTGTGGAAAGTATTTACCAACTAAGTCACAGCCTCAATCCTTATGCAAACTTATTAATGTCCCGAGAGACATCAGCCACCTGTGGGCCCATTTGACAAATAATGCTCTCACACAACAAACTTGTTAAAATACCCAGGGATCTCATTTCATCCTTCAGTCATCTAGAACTTCCTCTCATATCTGTGGCATTCCTGATATCCACCCTGGAGTCGACAGCATGGATTCCTCTTGGCTCTGCATCCTGATTTAGGGTTTTCTTTGCCTCTTTTCTTTCACCGCTGCCCTGAAGTTGCATCTGGTCTGTGGCTCTCCACACTTGGTAAGACGAATGTCTGGCTTATCTCACACAGTCATTACAGTTGCTGCTGTCCTGTGTTTAAGCAATTTTTTGTAGCCTGTGATGGTTCCTACTAGTTTTCAACCTGACACAATCTGGAATCGTCTGGGAGGTGGGCTTCTGGGCATGCCTTATAGGGGGTGACCTTGATTAAACTGACTGGTGTGGAGAGGCCCTTGTTTTTACAAGTATTTGTTTTTATGCGCATGAGTATTTTGCCCATGTGTATGTATGCATACCACGTGCATTCTGTGCCTTAATAGCTCAGGCCAGAAGAGGGCGTGGGATTTCCTGGAATGACAGTTATGGATTGTCATGAGCTCCTGCAAGGCAGAGAAGCAGCTGGGGATCAGGGATTCTCCTGTGACACCACCCATCTCCATTGAAGGGGACTCCACTGGCCTAGCACAAGATGAGGCTGCTTCCCCACACTGTCCAGGAAACCTGCTAGTAGATTCCAGCAAGCTCCACAAGGCTGTGAGTTTGAAAGGCAGGGAAGGAACAGAGACCTTCTGAGGACAACATGCAAGGGTCTGCGATCTGTTATGGTTAATTCTGTCAACTTGATTCAACCTGCAATCACCTGAGAAGAGATTCTCAGTGAGGGACTGGATTGGGTCGGCTTGTGAGGGTTTGTTTTCACTGCTAACTGATACAGGAAGACCCAGCCCGCTGTAGGCAGAACCATTCCCTAGGCATGAGATCCTGGACTGAATAAGTATGAAGAGTGAGCTGAGCTCAATCATGCACACACTCATTCCCCTCTGCTTTTGACCACGGATGCCATATGTTACTACTGTCTGGTTCAGATTCCTGCAGTCTTGGCTTCCCTGCAATAATGGATCATTAACCTCAAACTGTGAGCTAAAACAAACTGTTTCTCCCCTAAGTTGTTTTTTAGGGGGGTGGGGTAGAGGGCCTTTTTATCGAAGTAACAGAAATGAAACTAGATCGACTCAATCATGAAACTAAACATGGATATAACAAGAAAGTGTTGTTGGCTCCCACCTCTGGCTGCTGACGGTATCATGATTCCATCCGTAACCCCAGCTGACTGGTGGCACCGTTCAAGCAGACTTGTGACATTCTGCTTGTGTGTGTGTGCGTGTGTGTGTGTGTGTGTGTGTGTGTGTGCCTGCAGAGGTCAGAAGAGGCCATCAGGCACCTGGAGCTGGAGTTACAGACAGTTGTGAGCCATCTAAATGAGTGCTCAGAACTGCACTTGAATTCTCTGCAAAAGCAAGTGCTCTTAACCACTGAGCCATCTCCCCAACTCCAGAACAAGACCCGTTATTCATCCTAAGATGGAAACAATATGGCTCACTTCTCATGTGCACGCTAAGATGTGGTGAGAAGATTTAGAGCAGTTAATGTGAGGATGACTTGCACATGCTCATGTCATTATGGATGTCATTTTTGTCACCAACAAAGGGCAGGCACTGTCTTCCCCTGCAGATACCCAGAGCAGAAACAGCCTTGAAACCTCCACTACCCCGTCCAGCACGCCAGGGTCTAAGAGTTCTGACCCCAAATGTCAACCTTTGAGTGATTATGTACATGGGAGGCCAAGTTGCTATGGATGTGTATGTCTTCTCCAAAAGACCATTTGTTACAACTCAGTGCATTCTTGCGGCTAGAGAAGGCTGACTGTGGCAGGACAGCCTGTGCGCTGTGCACAAGAGCTCAGGGCTGCCAGATATCACAGACAGAATGGTTTACAAGGACCATTTCCCAACAGATGGCAGTAGAGGGTTTTATTCTAACAAACCCAGATGAAGTGAAAGCTACCAGGAAAAAAAAGGGAGGACTTGGGAATGACTTAGTGGTGTAGCACCTACCTAGTATGCACAGGGCCATGACGTCTGTTCTCAGAAACACACGCACACACATGCACGCACACATGTGCGCATACACACACTCATACACTCACACACTCACACAAAGAATGGATGAAGGATGAGTGACTGAGTGAGTGAATGTCAGTTTGCATAGCCACCACACTGTATGGAACCTTGTGCCGACTAGTTACTATCACCTCTACTGATCACCTAGCATGTAGGTCCCATTCCTTAAGAGACACCTGCCTTAATTGTAACTCTTCACATATTCCCAGGGAGGGCAGCAAGACCCTCCAGTCCATCACAACCTATCATGGGTGTCACATGGCCATTCCTACCAACTTCTACCATCGGGATCTGAGCCCCAGATGCCTGGGCATTTAGCAGCCTCCAAAGTTAAATATCTGAGGGGAGTCAGGAGTTCACCCATCTATGTGAGAAGGAGACCCACCTCCTTTCTTTAACCATTTTTACGTCATAAAATTATACAAACAGGCTGGTAGATGGATAGTCTACCTTGACAGAACATAAGGACCATAACCAGAGTCTTCAGGTAAATGCTGAGAATCCACATACACACATATACACACACTCACAAACATACACATACTCACACACATATATACACACACACACACACTCTCTCTCTCACATTCACACAGGTATACACACATGTATACTCACACACACACACACACACACACACTTTAAGACAGTATATCACTATATAACCCTGGTTGGTCTAGTACTCACTATGTACTAGGCTGGACTCAAACTCAGAGATCCACCTGCTTCTGCCTACTGAGTGCTGGGACTAAAGGTGTGTACTACCAGGCCTGGCTGAGAACCCAAATATTGAAGAGAAACACACAAATTCAGCACAAAGTAAAACCAAAATTGACCCTATTATTAACAGCTGGAGAAGCAGTAGCATGATGAATTTTAGTTTTAAAAAGCCCTTTCCAGGGCTGGGTGGTTGCTTTTGGGCTGCACCAGGTCCTAGGTTTAATTCCTAACACTAAGTACTAAAGACCTTTCTCCTAGCTTCAGGCATGATTGGCAGATTTTAAAGTAAGGTACCAAACATGATGTTTTGATACATGTATACGCCGAGAAATGTCTCCTATGCTCAGCCTAAGAACTTAGCCACTGTCTCATATGGTAACATTTGTATGTTAAGAGCGCTTCATGTTAGTCTTAGCAAACCTCTAGGACCAAATACAAATTTGCAGTCTCATGTTAAGGTATAGATACACTGGTAAAGCAGAGACAGAGAGAGAGAGAGAGAGAGAGAGAGAGAGAGAGAGAGAGAGAGAGAGAGAGAGAGAGAGAGAGAGAATTGTTATTATTATTATTTGTGTTTTCAGACAGGGTCTTTGTGCAGCCCTGGCTGTCCTGGAACTCCCTCTGCAGACCAGGCTGGCACTGAACTCAGGGATAAACTGCCTCTGCCTCCCAAGTGCTGGGATTAAAGAAAGGCGTGCACCATCGCAGCCTGGTTGAGCAGAGCAATTTATGAAATGCCTAACAACTTGCAAAACTTGATGTTCTTTTCTCCTTTTCAGGTCTCCTTTGGACACACATACCTGCTTTTATTAGCATGCCTGGGTATTTGGGAGGAATTCTGGGAAGTCTTGGGCTGCCAACTAAGCCCACCCTGAGACTTCTGGGAAATGATTAATAACAAGCATACACTGTACCCATCTCGACCCCACACTTCCACCCAGTTATTTCTCCCTGACCCTTTCTGGAATCTTCCAAGGCTTGCGTTCCAGGAGGGGGTCAGACGTTTTGTTGATAATTATCCTG